CTCGGGAGCAGCACTTGCAGCTATTTCTGCCACAGCAGACTGCACCTCGACGGCGGAGCTGCTGTGATCTCCTGCGGGCTGGGCAGCCAGCGCCAGTCTGGGACTTCCCGGGGGCTGAATCAGGGGAAAAGCGGGTACCAGCCAGCAAGGAGCTGCAGGACGTGCATAATGCTGCTCTGCTCTCGACTGGTGGGTGTAGCTCCTGTTGCTCACCACCCCATTTCAAGCACAACAAGCCTAGGAATGTCATCCAGCAGCTCAAAAGTCAAAGAAAGAAGAGCAAAACCATAGTTTTGTTGCTATCTTAATTTACAGATCAAATTAAACTACTTGAGGACAAACACATTTGCATCTCCAAAGGTTCTTTGAAGCCTGAGTCAGCAAAGTGCATGCTCAGCTTTAAGCATGTGGTTTGCGATATATTGGATTAAGCTGGAGCTTGAGGGAATAACCATATAAAAACGTTTTAACACATCATCTGTTGTTTTTTTCTTTTTTCTTCCCACCAGATTTTAGCCATAACATAAATGTTCATAAAGGATTGTTGGTTTCAACAAATAGCCTCCTCCAAAATTCTTGAGTAAGAACAAACTTGCAGATAGTCACTGGCCTGTTTCTGTGTTTTGGTTTTTCAAGTGAAAATGTTTGGTTAAAAAAAAAGAAATTAAGTTTGTTTTTAAGTAGAAAATAAAGCACTATTGCTTCCTCATGACTTTTTACCTTTTCATTTTTCAGTTTGTGTTTTCATGATGTTTTATTTTTCAGGTTGCTTAGAGAACAGAAGACTTTCCTGTGTCCTGGGAATTTTCATGGGGTGGGAAGAGCTGTTTTCTGCCTGGTGTATAGGTGGCTTTGGAGAACTTCAAGCCAAAAAATCCTAGACACACCAAAGTCAGCTGGAGCTTTCCAATGGTGCTAATGTTACCAGGACTCTCATCTCTTCCAATCCAAGTGTCTTTGTGGTTGGGAAATTGCAATCTCGGTCTAAAATCTGCATTGTCCGTCCTGGTTCCACATGGGAAGTGGCTTTGCCCACAGCATACAGAGTAGACCAGTGTGTGGTTTCTCAGAGTAACCTGGGCTGTCTGAGTAAAGGCTACTTGACCATGAGCCTCAGGCCAAAAGTCCCTCAGTGGCTGCTCAGTGGAGCTACGTCCTCAGTGGGCATCTGTGCTGGGAATGGAAAGTGTGGGCACTCTACAACCCCTTGATTCATGCAGTATAAAAACGAACACACCATATTTCAATTATACGGCAACTCTATTTATAAGCTGCGTGGGTAAACAGTCCATGTAACTGCACAGTAATTTTACAGAGTTCCTACACATGACAGAGCAATAATTAATTTAGTAATTGCATGGGCTGGAATAGCCCTGGAACTTCCACTGTGTTTTGGATGGCTGGCATGGCTCCTGCTTGCTTTATCACCTCCTGTTCAAGGGAAGAAAGGCTTCCACTGACTTCAACAGATCAGGCTCAGAGCATCTCTCCTCTGTGGACATTGCAACTGCTTTATAGAAAGGGTAGCTCTTCAGCTTTCCCCTCTAACCAGAGCTAGGGAGAGAAGCAGCATCCCAGGGAAAATAAAAGGGGAGGGGGAAGAAAAAGGCAAAAAAGAAAAAAAAACCAACCCTTCCCTGTGAGAAAAATAACACGCAGGCATGGCTTTTCTGGTGATATAAATGAATACATTCATGGAAGCATGCCAGCTTTCTCCTGATGAGCTTCTGGACCTGGGTCTGCCTCCAAGTAGAGAGAGGAGAAGACCTGGTTGTTGGACTGCAGTCCCAACAGCAAAAACTGATACACTGATCTGCATTTAAATGCTTTTGGTGATGGAAGTGATGTTGACAAAGGGACAAAAACCCCTCACAAAGTACAGATCGTTCTGCAGTGTCATCTTCTGGTGTTCTACAGAGTCTGAAAGACAAGGCCACAGGTTCCATCCAAGGAGACTGGCTGCTGCCTCCCAGGGAAGGTAAGAAACCATCCCCATGCAATGCCCACTGCTGCGCTCAGACCCTGCATGCTGCCAGCTGGAAAGCAAACCCCAGAGCCATTTGGTTTGCTGTTGGATCAAGGTCAGCAGAGACGACCAGTTCTGGCATAGCGAGCTTTTCTCCTGAGCTCAGGTTTGTGAACAACGGTCTGCTCTCGATTTCTCCCAGAGCTTTGTTTCTGCCCCACCTCCCAGATACGCATTGCTCACATCTGCCCTCACCCAGGTGAGATTTTTTAAGGATGTCCCATCCAGAAGTGTGTGGGGCTATCTGCAGTAGGTAGGGGTACAGCACCCAGGCAGGGATGGTGTGTGTGTGCAGGGTGTCTGGGTGGCACATCAGTGTGGAGGGGGCTACTGTGCACTGGGGATGCTCTCCTGAGCTCAGGGGGGTGTACGGCACATGGATGGGTGCATACATTTGTGGGCACAGCAGTGTTTGGGCCCAGATATTGGCAGTGCCTGTGGCTGGCAGGACACAGGCACAGCAGGGATGGTGATGTCTGTGCCCAGTGATGCAGGTCTGGAGAGGCACAGTCATCCCCCACAGGCCCCTCCTGGATTCTAACCTGCTTTGCTCATTAAAATACTGGGGAAAAGGGATTGCTATGAGAAAAATGATACCTCCACTGCTTCCCTGTGCCAGGAGAGAGACGGGCTGAGACCAGGCGCTCCGGAGATCTTCTTCCACCACCTGGTTCACCACCTTTCTTTGGGTTGGAGAAAGAGGGGAACAGATTGCAAGTGAGTGAGGAAGTGACAGAGCAAAGCTTGAGACACCTAACCCCAAGCCTCAATGCCCCTTAGGGTCTTGAGCCACTAAGCCCCAGTCTTAACCATAACAACATCTTGCTTAAGAGCACATGACATAGCCTTCAAAACTTCAAACCAACCTACATGTGAAGACCTCATGGCTCCAGGCTGGTTCCAGCAGCCACATCGGCTCCCCACAGCCCTTAGCACTGAGATTATAGCCTTAGAGACTGCTGCATACAGAGCCTACCCAGTTTCCGCTCCTACTCCTTGGCCACAGGGAAGGGCAAGAAGGCTTCAAGACCTTTTTGGAAAGAAAACATTGGGATGTGCTCATGAAGCTGCCCAGGGAGCAAAGGAGAACATGAAAAGATGCAACCTTCATGCAAGTGCCATTCTTCAAGAAACATGCAGGAGACCCTGCTCCAGAAACCCCTCTTCTTCACTCAGGCCCTCTTCACTCTGCTCTTCAGTCCTGCCTTGAAGGTTAGTCCTGCCTTATCATGTACCATTTACCAGGGCAGGGAAGAGGTGTCTGTAAGTCCATCTCATGGGGCTGAAGATGTGCTTGGTGGAGGAGTGAAGCTTCCATCAGGACATCACATGTCCCAGACCCCCTGGTAAGGGGAGTTTCTACACTGCTCCCATGCAACTTCCACCCTTCCCACTCTGACTACGACCAGCTCTGCTTCTACCCAGGCCCCTCCTCTTTCCCTCTTCCTCTTCCAGGCAAGGGGCGGAGCTCCTGTGAAACCCCCTACTGCTTTTGTTCCCTGCAGCCAAGTGATACATGCTGCTATGCAGCCAGAGAAACTGCTGCAGAAAAGCACTGCATGGCCAGTGAGATCCTCCCATGGGCAAGGGCTCTCTGTACCGAGAAATGTGGGTAACCAGATCCCAGCAGGGTCTAGCTGTCGAGCTTGCCCCATGTCCACACCAGCCAAAGAGTCAGCACCTGGCTCTGGGTCACAGCTCCATCTCTCCTGATGGGAGCAGGGCTTCTAAGGAGGAACAATTGCTTAAGAAAAGGGGAGGCCCTTTTCCCCTCTGGGGTCAAATAAAAGGGCAGCAAGAGTTGTATGGATTCGTGCTCAGGAGCATCAGGAACACAGATGTAGCTTTCTGTACGTAGCCCTGCTCCAATACAGAATTCACTCTGTGACTTCCAAAAAGCCACTTAATAGTTTCCCACCAGTTGTGCCTTCCCTTTTCTCTGCCCCAGGCTCTGAGCATCCGTAGGTGATGCGTGTGAACAGGCTCTTGCTAGGGAAGCTCCTGCCTCTTTGGGGTGTCAATGCTTATGGATGTCCAACAAGGACAGACTCCAGGGGAACATCTACACCCACCAACCTGCTTCCCCCTTGACCTGGGAAAATGGGATTGGTTTAACTTGAGACAGGAGATGAGCGAAGGGGAAAGGAGATGGGAGAAGTGCCTTTTTAAATGTTCTTTGCCGCTCTCCTCCATGTCTCATGGCGGTGTCTGCGCTGACGTCAATGCGGTGCTGTTGATTTGCACCAGCTGAGGGGCTGGCACATGATCCTCCCCTTCAGAGTGGCTTTGACGTGGGGCGGCGAAGGGCTCGTGCTGGGATATATTCTTGCCCACACCACACAGTGTGCCGCTGGGTCTCTGCAGCAAGGCAAGAAACAACAATCCACCGAGGAGCAACGGCATTCGGCAGGCAGATCCCACGTGGCCGCCCACAGAGCCCCTGCCTTCACCCCAGCATCCTGGGGCAGGGGTCTGCTGCCCAGCCTTAACCCCTCCACGCAAAGAGAAGGTGAGCAAGGTGGCTGCTAAAGGGGTATCAGCAACACCAGCCTCACCTTGTGAAGGACCACCAGCCTCACACCTTGCTTGCTGCTGCTCGCCTGAACATGTTGCGCCAGCTGCAATACAGCTGTGGGCTCTCACTGCCTTCCTCACTCTTCTCCTGGTGTTCTTCCCTTGGTGGAGGCTGCAGGACTGGATTAATGCATTTAACTGCAGATGCTCAGGCCCTACAATCATCCGGCTTCCAACACCACGTGGAGGTGACTGCCTCTGCATGCCAAAGCTTATTTTACTGCCTTACAGAGCATCGAAGCCTAGAAAAACATTTTTAACTTGCACTTTGCTCCCACACATGCGATTTGCGTGTTAACGTAAACCTCCATGGAGTGGAAAGCATCCCATTAAACACTCCTGGGAAAGATGAGCCCAGCCCTTGAAATCAGAGCTAATTTGGGGGAAGAAGGAACACTACACATCAAGCCACAAGAAGGAAAAGAGTGAAACTCAGTCAGCAGCAGTCATCTTTACTATGGACCACAGGAGATCAGAAAAATAACCTTGTTAACAAGAGACCTAGTAGCTAACAAAATGTCATGCTATAGGACATACAAGAGAGGCCAAGCACAATCACCAGAACAAAACAGCAACTGAGGAGGAAAGGAAATCCCAGGGTGGTGTGCAGGGTGTTGCAGTAGATGCCCTATAGCAAACCTCTCGTGGTGGCATCAACACAGCAGTGTGCATGGCTGTGTGTGCATGGGGCTGGCTGCGTGGATTGCTTTTGCCTTTAAAACAAGTCAAAGGGTCTTCATCTCTTACATAACTCCAGTGTCTCTAGCACAACTATTATTAAATTTTTCAGGAAAGGAAGAAAAATATAATTTTGTTCCAAGAACTATGTGCACGAATTGTTTCTCCAGGTACAGTGAAAGTAGGGCAGATAGGAAAACACCCTTCTCAGTGCTGTCCTTGTGACTCCTGCCCTCTCCTCTTTGACACCACAGCCATCCCCAGCAAGCCTCTGTGGCTTTGCCTTCAGTGAATCCCAAACAAGGCATTTCAGAAAAAGAAGAAAGGAAAAAAAAAGGTATTGCTGCTTCTTCTTGTAATATTTTTCCTCTCTCTCCCCCCCCCCTTCCCCTTAAAAATGTTTACTTTCAAAAATTCCATTCCTGCAGAGATTCCTCCCAAGCTCTGAGGTCTCCGCACTCCACCCTCCTCTTCTGCAGTCAGAAAAACTGAGTCTTGATGTCTCTTTGGTTAAAAAAAAAAAAAAAATAAAAAAAAAACCACAAACAAATAACACACAGCCCAGTATGATCCCATTCCACCCCGCGGACGCCTGATGAGAGGGTGTCTGTGGAAGAAGGAAGCATCAGAGACGAGCTGTCTGCTCTCTGGAAGCCGAGGTCCCTGCGCCGCCTGGCCGGCTCTCCTCCTCTCATACAGTGGTCGCTGGCCCAAACTGGAGAACCAGAGGGGATGTCTCCTTGATCCGGACATAGAACCGCCCCTCAGGCTGGCTAGTTTGGAGGGACAGAGGCATGAAGTCATCAGGAAGCCACCGCTCACTCTCGTCGGAGGCGAACACCAGTCCAAAATGCTCCAGCTGCTCCTCGCCATAGCAGAAGGCGGCTGAGCCACCTAGCACGCCACGGGAGATGTCGTTCATCTCGAGCACCACCAGCTTCACCACCTCCCCGGCGGACGTCTGGCTGGTGATGTGCAGCTGCAAAAACAGAAAGGTGGGAGAGATGGATGGTAAGGGGGAGGAATGAGGAGGAACTGGGGGTCAGAGACAGTACACAGTGTGTCCTACAGCGGTGATCATTAGGGTGGAGGCACAGCTGTCCCAGTGGTGTCCAGTGAGCAGACGGAAGCAGCCCAGTGTGAAGCCATGGGCACACTGTGCCTGGGGATGCCTGGCATGCTGAGGCCCAAACTCATGCACCATTTTCTTGCCTCCACCGCACTCTCTGAGTCCTTACAGTTCAACTTGCATGTGTCACCTACGGTTTTCCCGCTCCACTCAGGCTGCCTTACCGTTCCATTGCCTGTGGCTGGAGAGGGACAGTCCCAGCCCTGCTCCTGGCACCATGGAAGGGTCTGAATAAAGTCCCTCGCGTGAGCAGGATTCAGACTGTCAGACCAGCTGAACCACAACAGCTCTGCCAAACTAGTGGTGCTGAGCTGTAGCCTCTTTGGGAAGTGGTGCTACTTTTCATCCCATTCACAAGCATGGGGTTCTCCCACCAACAGCTACCCTCACTGTCCCTCTCCACTTCCTTGGGGACTGCCTTCCAAATCCCAAATACAGCCAAGAAAATCTGGTCTCTGGCTGTTAGTGACTGTCGGGAGCCCGCTACTTGACTTCAAAGGCCCTAAAGCAGGACATCCATCCTTGCCCAGGCAAGGCAACGGTTTCCTTTGGCACATCCGTAAGGGCTTGCGGAGCACCGCGAGCAGTGTCCCGGCAGGGTGGTCTGAGCCCTTGGCCCACGTGAACCCTGCCAGCTCCGAACAATCATCACAGAGCTCAGCTGATTTATGCCAGCAGAGGAGCCTTTCCTTTGAACTGGGCTTTCTTTGAGAAGAACATCGTAAAATGCTTTCAAGCAGGCGTGTCCAGAGCTTTGCAACTTCAAAAGCCACGTGGGCAGCCCGCCAGGAACCCAAGGACTGCGCTTCAGTTGCATAGAAATCTATGGTAATTTCTCAAATGGAAAATAAATACTGCGAGTCAGATTCCCCCCTGCTTCTAATGTCCCCCCTGGGTGTGGAGAAACTGGCCATCAAAACTCCCCAGCAATAACACCTATCATCCCATTGGCTCTGTCCTTCCTCTGCCATTTTCTGGGCAAACTGCTCTCAGGCTGCTCCATCAGCCTCGGCTCTGGGCACTGGGAATGTCAGAAGGGAAATTTCAACAGGGGAAGGAGCTTCATGGCTGGGAGCAAAGGAGATGGCAGAGTCAGAGGGGCACCTGGAGATGCATGGCCTGGAGGGGTCTCCAACATGCTCACCCAGAGCAGGTGAGAGTGATGGGGGGTCAGCTCTCAGCAGCAAAGCCCTTGCACAGAGGAACCAGGTTGGACAGTGGCTCCAGTGGACCCCAACACCTGCAGCAAGGAGGCAGCTTTGTCTGCTCCCCTTCACAGGCTGGAGACAAGCACCTCCTGCTCTCCCTTTCCCAAAGGCACACAGGGCTGGGGCAGGGGGAGCACAGACCCCAGCGAAGGGAGGCTGTGGAAGGGCCAGGGCCAGGGAAAGGGGGTGATAGCTGGATTTTGGCTGAGGGGCTGATGTGTTTGAACACTAGGACACGGCAAGGGAAATCCAACAACGTGACCTTTGCTCACTGCCTGCCCATGCTGGGTGGCACTAAACTACTGTCATCTGCTGAACCATGGACCGAGAGCTGAACCACAGCTCCACTGCCTTGTCCCCCAAAAATACACTACCCCTGGCCCTGGCTCACCCCCTCTGCAGCAGTGGCTATTGCCCCTGCAGAGCCATGTGCAGGCACGCAGGGATGCAGGGATGGAGGGCAGGAGTGCTGCAGGTCTCCAGGAGACCTCACCCCTGGGACGGCGGAGGATGGAGAAGGCAGTGCCAGGCAAGGCACACGTGAGTCCCTGCTACCTGCCTCCCCATCCTGCCAGCCCTTTCCGTCCAGGCATGGCAGAGCTGCAACACTGCCCTTTGCAGGCTCTGGTACCTTAACACTGGTCTCTTTGGAGAGTCCGGTTTCGTACTGAGGGCAGACCCACAAGGTGACAGAGCCCGGCTTCTTCCCTCTGTCGGCCAAGCACCCAGGCTGCTCCAGCTGCTCCTGGAAGTTCTGAGTCCACTCAGCTGAGCGCGTCCGGAAGATGGGCTCAGAGCCCTGCCCGCCCTGGCTGCGCTCAGGGCTGGGTGTAGAGCCAGTCCCCAGCCTGAGCTGGCTGCAGTGGCCCGTGGTCCTGCTCTCCGTCGGGGAGCTATCGACGGAACCGGGGCAGGACTTTCTGGACACCTGGCAGAGCGGTTTGGGAAAGTCCAGGCTGCTGGTTCGAACACAGTATGCCTGTCGCTTCTCTGTGATGCGCAGCAGCTCGATCTGTCGGCTGGGAAGAACGAAGTCGCTGTCGTAGATCTCAGGGGGTGGCCGGGGCTCCTCCGGCGGTGGTGGTGGTGGCGGTGGGGTCTTGAGCTCATGGGTCTGCAGGACATCCGGGGCGCTGTCACGGAGGGTGTGGGCAACTCTTCTGCTGCAGCACTCGGGCCCCGAGGAGGAGTATACCAGGTCAAGTTCCTTGGGGCTCTGTGCCCTGCTGGAGTCGTAGTCACTGTCGGTGGCCAGGAACACCTCCGAGGAGCCCTCCTCATCTGACAGCCCATGTGAGTCTGCAAGGGGTGTAAGAGAAGCAAAGAGGGGCTTAAACTTGCAACCCCCACTGGGGTTTGCACCAGATGGAGCCTAAGTAAACTCCAAGCATTTAATCCCTTGCTGCATACCCGTGCTGCACTCGCCAAGACACAGGCGGAGTAGGTCTTGCCCCAACCAAGACCGACTGCCCTGCCTGTACGCCTGACACTGGCCCTGCCTGCACCTGACACTGCCCCCTTTCCCAGCACCCCTGCCTGCACCAGCCAGATCAGCGCCCCTGTCACCCCGAGCACCGGTAGCCCTCTGAGCCCACCTGGCAACAGCTTTGCAAAGCCAGGTCCTTACCAGAGTTGAGTTTACGGCTGGTCTCCGGCGAGGGTGCTGGGGAGGGAAGGTAGTCGAGGTGGGATGAGGTGGATCGGGTTTTCTCCTTCATTGGACCTCCAGCCTCGCTGAGGAAGCCGCTGAGAGACACCCCGCAGGAGGGCTGCTTGTACCGGGCGTGTTGCAGGGCATCCATAATCCAGCGCATCTCACGCCATATCTCCTCCATTTGCTGCCAAAATAGGAAATGAAGGATGCCTTTCAAAAAGCAAACAACAAAAAAGCCCCACAGCAAAACACAGCCTCTCCACACACAGCTTTTTCAAGACATAAAAGCTTCGAGGGAATCCCTGAGTAAGGAAATCCCAAGAAAGTGCTCTCAGGTGGGAAGATGCTGCGTCAACCACCACCAGCTGCTGGTTCAGCAGGACCTGCCTGCTGCAGGCAGGGGTGCTGGGAAAGGGGGTAGCACGGGGTGCTATTTCACACACCAATCCCAGAATGCACTCCAGGCCCTTTCCTAACAAGGTGGGGACTGCAGAGCAGGGGCCTCCAGCTCTCTAATCCGTCTCTCTAATCAGTATTTTTAATGTGATCCCTGCAGTAAGTTGCTAGACAAAGCCCTGCCTGCTGCTGCCTGTCTGCCACATCAGAGAAAACCCACAGAGTCACAGCCACCAAGATCAGGGAACAGCTCTGGTGCTGATGCTCCTGCAGCTCAGCCAGGGCATGACTGTCCTGCCCATGTCCTGTGGGCATCTTTGAGCCTGACTCCCTCCCAGCACGCTCACACTCTGTATACCTGGATGTAGTCCTGAACCTGCTGGTGCCGCTGCTTTGCGGTGGAGAGCTCGGCGTCGGAGAAGGCCTCCCTGAGGCTCTGCTGAGAGAGGAGCGACTCCAGCTCCAGGAGAGCAGACACCTGGCAGTACTGCGTGATGAATTCCCGGTCGTAAGTGAAGAAGTGGACTGGGGAGAGGAAAAAAAAAAAAGGTGGAATGAAAAATATCAGGTTCCTTGCTGTGGATGCCCCACAGGCTCCTCCTTGCTCACCCCACACAGGAGGAGGCAATGCTGTCATCTAGCCTACTGGGACAGCTCTCAGTATTCCCCTCCATCCCTCCCCTCCTAGGGGAGGAAGCCCACTCCACTGCCTGTACCAGCTTTTGGGAGATTTCAGAGGATGAGACCAGCAGGTTGGGTTTTGGCATTCCTTCTCCTCACCTAGCTCAAAGATCTGCAGTGGCAGCGTAAGGAAGCCGGAGCGAGGGGTGTAGGGGTTGTTCTGGCCTGGAGCAGTGCAGACATCATCCGATGGAGGCAGCAGCAGCAGGAAGGAGACCTGGCCCCCAAAGTCCAGCACCTCTTGGCTGTACAGACGGAAATCTTTGGCCTGCAAGAAGATGCTGCAGGTAACAGCTGCAAACATCACCTGGTGGGCCCTCCATCAAGTTCTCATCCACAGAGGAGTCCTCAGGGACCACCTTCAGCCAGGGGACACTGCTGTTTCAGCACACAACCAGAGGCAACTTGCTTCTGGCATCATCTGCACACCTCCCTTTCTCTCTTATTTCTCCTAAACCTGTCTAAACTACTGGTCAAAGTCATTCTGATGGGGTTTCCAAGAAGAAGTGCCACCAGCAATGGCCTCAGCCCTGATCAGAGAGGTTCCCTCTCAGCTGCCTGGCCAGAAGCATGTGTCTGGCACAGGGGCTGGTGGGCACCTTCCCAGTGAATACTTAGCACAGTGAAGAAGGGATTTCTCCCTGTGCAGTCTGGCCCTGGGGGTTCCAGCTCCATCCCACCACTGGCCAGGAACCATCTTGCTTTGGAGAGGCAGAGTTGGGCTGTTTTAGTGCTGCAAGGGCTGAGCCCAGGACCAGACCACATGGCAGGTGATAATGAAAACCCAGATTCACCATTCTTATTTTGGAGGTACAGGTGAAGGGGTAAGACAAACACCCCCTGTGGATGCTGTCTCTGGACAGGCAGATGCTTCAGATGCTGGCTGTCCAACACTTGCCTTCTATTTGCATGGGACTGAAATCTCACCAATGCTCCAGGCCCTCAAAGAAAGACCAGTGGCTGCGGTCCCCTGCCTGCTGCATGGCTCCTTCCCGTCCCTCCTCCCCAGACCTCGGCACCTGCCCATACCTCTTGCAATGGGATGTTGACCAGGGTCATCAGTTCCTTGATGGCCACTTGGAGCTCCTGAAACAAGTGATTCTGGGAGGTCTCAGCCTCTGGCTCTGCAGGAACAGGCTCCTCCATGCTGACCATCTTCTGCAGCCATTCCCACTCCTCCCTGGAGAAGGGAGAGACAGACATGTGAAGGAGGGAGCAAATTGCTATGAGAGCTGTGTTTGGTCAGCTGTTCCTCCCCCAGACAGTGCAGCACCACAAGGGATGCGGGAGCTGCAGAGGTAGAAGGGGACTGTAGTTTGCTCCAGCTCCAGGCTGCCCTGCATGGTGGGCAGCAGGGCTGAGAGGGAATATTACACTGCTGCTAGGAGCCCAAGAACAGAAGCAGGTGATGGGTGTTCTTAGGCTGGATGGGACAGAGGAGCCTGGCTGCCCCGGGGGAGCTGCCCTGCAAGTCCCACCTGGAGATGTTGGGGTTGGAGCGAATCTTGACGTGGCACAGGATGTTGGGGAGCCGCTCTGGCACCAGCACTCGGATCTGATCCACGGCGCTGCAGAGCTTCAAGTAGCCCAGGTAGAGGCCCGGGGAGAGGGCATGGCTGCTCCGCTGGTGGTATGCCAGCTTGTCCTGAGGAGAAAGGATTGCCTGCTGGATTGAGAAAGCCCTTGCAGCAGGGCTCTGTCCTGCCCTCGTGCCAGCTGCTGTGGTACAGCCAGCCCAGCCAGCAGAAGGGGAAGCAGCAGAGCAAGCACAATCCAGTGCTGCTGGGATGAATCTGGCACCAGCCTGACGCCTCCCCTTGAAACAACAGGATTTTTTTCAGGCTGCTTGTGCTCTGCTCCCCCTCTGCCTACAGCCAGGACCAAACTCTTGGTGGCCTGGGCTCTGCCATGGCCTTTCCTGCCCAAGGGGTAGCAGGAGCACTGGTGTTCGCGCAGTGGAGTCCACTGCAGTCCCTTGCTGCAACAGCACCTGGACGGAGATCAGCAGCGTGTCCAGAGCAGTGGGCTCCTCTGGGGAGGACACGGACTTGCGGCTGGTCTGCAGCTTGCAGATGGGAACCCAGCGGACGCTCTCAAAGGTCTGGTTGGTCTTCACCTCCTTCAGGGTGACAATGAGGATGTTGCCCTGTTTGTCTTTAACAGGCTCAAAGAAGACCTGCCCCAGGTCCTGGATGCCCAGCAGCCCCTGCGTGATGGGGTGGGAGAGCAAGAGAAAGCAGATTGTCAGGGGACATCCTTGAGACACACTGTTCTGTGGGTCTGAGCAGCTGGGATGTGACTGGCTACCAGCTACCTGCTGGTAACCAGCCTGCTGGGCAAAGCACCCACCGACAGCCCCCAGGCCCTCTGCTTGAGATTGCCATGAAGCCTGACACCTCATTGCCCTACAGCCCTGGTCTGGCCAGGGAGGATGAGGCACCCAGTCCTGTCACGGACAGAGCCACAGGCAGAACTGGCAGACGCTGGTGTTTTCTTGGGTGCAGCACAACCACATGCTGCTCCCAAGGGACCCCAGCCCACAGTGCCCCCATAAAAGCACTCGCTCCTCCCCTAGGCCCATCCTCACCTGCATTTGTGAGATAGCCAGCAGCATCTTGAAGCGTGTCTGCAGGATGCAGGAGCAGGACGACTGGGAGACAGTAACACACTGCCGCAGCCACAGAATCTCATCCCACATGCACGACACCTGCAGCACACAAAGGAGTTGTCATCACTGGCTAACGCTGCCTGCAGCTGGTTCACGCAAAGATGTTTTGGGGAAATCCATTTGCCTTTCTGTTTGAGCTGGGTTAGGAACATGCATGGGCATATACCACCTCTTAACAGGGGTGTGATTTCCTGTGCCACAAACACCCCAAGATGCCTCCAAAGCCTGTACCCAAGGGAAGCGCCATGCTGTGCCCACCCAGGTATCTGTCTGAGGTGGGTCTGAGACCTGCTTAAGTTTGAGTAGAAGACAGTCAAGAAAAGGAAGAAGACAGCCTCTTCCTCAGTAGATAAGGATGACCCAGCAGAAGATTTTGGCCCTGAGCTGCCCACCTGCCCTTTTACTAAGCCTACTGACAGTGGAGACCAGGCAGCAGCACAGCACCCTGCACATCCTGCTCCGTACAACAGAGGCAGAGCTTTCATGGCAGGATGCTGTGGTGAAGCAGTTAAACAGCCAAGAAGTTGCTGGCATCTCTGTTGAGAGGCAGCACCCACCCATCGTGGCATGCAGCCCGCCCAGCACAGCACCGGTCCATCGCCCACCCGTTGCGGCACGCAGCCTGCCCAGCGCGGCGCCAGGCCATCGCCCACCTTTGGGCTTCCAAGGACTAGGGTGGAAACGCTGTTCTCTGGTGGGTTCTCAGCCCATGCTGAACCCCAAAAAGCTGCAGCGTGTGGGCTGCTGGTGCTGCCAAGCCCCAGTGCCCAAAGGGCAGCAGTGGTGCATGATCCCTGCTCAGCTCACCCTGGCACTTCTGGGCTGCGACTGGCTCTTGGCATCACCCTGGCCCACACTGCCCACAAGGACAGTGGCACAGTGGAGGTCCTGGAGACAACGCCAGGAAGCCCAGGAGTTGCCAAATGTATCATTTGGTGTGAGTAGCTGGAGTAGCTTGTGCTCACTTTGTGCACATGGGGTGTCCCCCCAGTGCTGCTCCCAGCCCTGAATCAGACCCAGACTGCCCTGGAAAAAGCCCCACAGCACCCCATGCATGACAGGCACTGCTGCCTGCACAGACAGTACCAGGGAAGATGCTGCAATGAAGGTGCTCTGCAGATTGTGGTGGCCATTATCTCAGCAGCATCCCGGGTGGTGGCCAGGCAGATAGAGGTGTGTCAGGAGACATGCTGCTGCCATGCCCCAGCGCACAGCACAGGGGCCCTGGGTCACCCACCTTTGTGAACCAGAGAAAATCCTGCATGAGCAGGCAGGAATAGGTGTCATCAATCTCCACCACGGGGATCTGGTCTTCATGGGTCACCAGGATGTTGTCGTCCTTGTAGAAGATGGCTGTCAGGTAGAGGCCCCTGCATGGGAGGGAAGACAGACTTCAGTGTCACCCCCAGACGCCAGCTTCATTTTCCAAAGGGTCTCTCTCCCGAGGACAAAGGAGATGCCCTGCTCCAGGTCTGAGCACCTCTCCAACACCATGTGGCAGAAAAGCCAGTAGAGGAGCAGGAACAGGAACCCAACGCTGCCAGCAGTGCCATCCTGGCTGATGCCACAGCTGATGCCATGGCTGATGCCCAGTCAGCACAAGGGAGGGCGATGGGGCCAGGCCTGTGTGGGAGACATGCTGGGGTGCCTGAAGGCCAAGCATGAGGATGGGTGGTGGGAGGGTGGTGGGGTCTAGAGGAGGGTGGGGTGTTGGGTGATGCTTGGAGATGGTGCAGGAATCAGGGTACAGGCACAGCTCGGCCAGTCAAATGGAAACACCAAGAAGAAACGTTTGATTTCTGGTCAGTGGGACTCATCCCCACTGACACCACAAGGTTGTTCCAGGCAAGGACACATCTCTGAGCACCCCCAGCCCCTGTCTTGCAGGCACAGCTCCCGGCTGCACCCAGGGTGGGTGGGCACCTCTACGGCCTCGCTGGGAGAGTGGCTCTCCACCACCCAATGCACCAGCCTCTCACCGCTTCAGTGTCTTGAGAAACTTGCTGCCGGGGTGGAAGAGGTGCTTGAGGCTCTTGGAGACCGAGTGCTTCCTGCTTTGGGGCTGGTTCTTGCAGGGCTCTGGGGAGCAGAGAGCAGAGAGATGAAGAGCTGCACTGGCAGCCCACGGCACAGCATGCCAACCCAGTGGGAAGGTTCTGCCAAGGGGTCCACTGCCTGAGCTGTCTCCCTGCTATGCTCATCCATGGGATGGATCTATTTCTGGTGCCATCCCAGCCCCATGGACCACATCACAGCCCTGGAGGGGCCTGGATGGATTCCCACACCCCAGCCTCCCCACGGCGCCATGCCGTGTACTCACCATGGCAAACACAGTGCTGATGGATGGTCTTCACCTGGCTCAGCAGATGGTCCAAAGCTTCAGCTTGCCCCCTTCTCCGTGGGGCCCGGCCGTCATACTCCCGCCAGTCTGTGGGGACAAACCAGAATTACTCCCAGCACCCCCTGGCCTGGGGTAAAAGGGGTTCCTGTCCTCTCTTCCTCATGGCACCCCACATGGGTGTCCCACAGGCACAGCATGGCACAGCATGGCATGGCAGCAATTGTGGGTGCTGGGCACTTCTGGGTGGGCTGGGCTTTGGGAGATCCCCTGTTCTGTGCCACTCTCTGCAGGAGCACCCCAGCTCTGCACAGCATCCCATGGCCACTGGGCACCCCACAGTGCAGTGGGGACATGGCGGAAGGAAAGAACAAGGTCGCGTCTGTTGCTGTTGCACTTCACTGGCCTTGAAAAATAAAATTCTTTCCAGTGTCTTCCTCCAGGTCTTCCCCAGAGCTGCAGCCTTCTCCAGGCAAGTGCTGAGAGCTGGGCTCACCTTGGCAAACGCATAAATAAGCTGTTCTGCCAGGTCCACCCATTGTAAGACAGCAGCAGGACTGGGAGCGGGGCTGGGGACCCGCCGACACTTCTACATTAGCTTTACATTAATTGCTTTAAACACCTCCTGTGTCCTGCCTGCTGCTGTTTTCCATGGAAAGTTCAGCTCTGTTAACGTTGGCTGGGGCTCACCACTATTTTTAGGAACTTTAAAAACACCCAGGGAGGTGCCTGACTATATTCTGCTGGGCCAGGGTTCTTTACTGAAGGGAGAAATATTAATGGAGATAAAAATAAATAAAGCCCACTCATGTCTGATTCACTTCAGCTGCTCTCTGTATCAATGCCACATGGATCTTGGTCACGGAGAATGTAACCCATGCAGGGTTACTGTGCCATCACAAAGGGGATTTAAAGTGGGTGCAAACATGACCAACACCCGCTGCCAGGACAGGGTAAAGGCAGGGCAGTGCCACAGGCTTGCTATATGCATTCATATACATGCAAATGTATTTTTGCACCTTTCCATACCGGTGGTAGAGTGCTTGTGTATCTGCACCTAGAGTGACGCATGGCCCTACTGCTGTCCATGCACTGCTTGCGAGCGTGGTGGCAGGGAGCTGCATGCCCACCGCCCTGCTGCCTGCTCGTCAGGACAGGCTCAGCCTCCCCAGGTGCACGTGGAGCTGTTCCTTACACATCTGATAGTGCCGATCCCATGGCACTGCCATGTGGCAGAGACCCATCTTGGGACTGGTGATGAGAGGCAGAGGCCACCTCGGAGGCCACTCAGCCCTTTGGGGCTGCTACTTCCAGTTCTCCCGTCCCGTCCCCCCCCCAGCGCTCTGGGGTGCCTTGTGTGACTTTGCGTGGCTTTTCCCCTCCCACTTGCCCTCATCCCAGTGCGGAGAGGTGACTGCTGGCAGTCCAAAGCTGGTCTCTGGTGGGGGTCATGACCCCATCCCAGCTCAGTGCCAGGGAATGCAGGTCCCTGGGGCTGGGCTGGCTGGGCAAGATCATGTGGTGGCACAGAGAGGGCTCCAAGCCCACTGCCACCCAGGACTGGGACAGCTCTGAGCCCTGGAGGGGCACCTCCAGAGGCCGAGCTGGGGCATCCCACCATGTAACCCCTCACCACGTGTCAACAGTTGTTTTGCACAAGCTTGGCCACTTTGGGGCAGATGTCATTGAGGCGGTAAGGACTGACCTCCCAAAAGCTGCCCTGTGCTGTTAGAAACCTCTGCTAAAAAACCCTGGGAAGTTTTTCATTCCTACAGAGGAGATGGCTGTATTGTTTTCCTTTTAAGTGAAAAAGCAAAACATCCTCTCTCCGAAGTTCCTCCTTAGGATGAGTTGATCCAGGTGGTCTGAAATGGCCCAGCCTTTATGAGGCAGCCAGAAAAATTTCAGGTTGAAAAATTAATATTTGGCAAAACTCCTATCAGCTGGAGGCACCATCCCAGACCCAGAAGCACAGCCCCCCTGCTTGGCTTGAGGCTCCAAATGCTGTCTCTGCTCCTGGGTCCACTGGACCCCACTGCAGCAGTGAGAGGGACCCCTGGATGGCACAGGGAGCTGCTTCCTCCCCCCACCCATCCTGCAGACGGTGCTGGCTCCCGTGGTCATTCCCAGTAGTACTTACTGGAAGGGATGGCGAAAGGGGGCACAGAGGCTTGTGGGGGACCCCAGCCCTTCATGTTGTAGGCAGACACCTGGACGTAGTAAGCTGTGCCCTGCAAGGAAGGAAGCCACTCTCAGCACACCAGCACCTCTCCTGGCTCAGCGTGTGAGGGAAGGAGGATACCCCCAGCTCAGAGCACCAGTGCATCACAAGGAATACTAAACTGGAGCTCACACCCCGAGCCACTGGCTCTGACCTTTCCCAGCTGTACAAAGGTCTTGTTATCAGACAGTAGAGAACCCCCATGGCCTGGGTGGGTGGTTTTGGGAGGGGAGGCAGAGGGAGGATGGGACACTGCAAATGCCTCTTGCCAGGAAATGCTACGGCCCGAAAGACACAGGGCTTCTGCAGCCCGGAGGGTCGGGGTGCTGCCTTCCCGCTGGGATGTGCAAGGATCTGACCCCCGGAGACAGGGAGCTAGCGCAACGTTGTTGAACGCTTGTGGCACAGCGACAGTGATTAAAGGCCTCTGATTAAAACTCAGTCAAGCTGCCAGATGTTGCAAGGCCTCCAGGCACTCATGAAGGCGGACAGGAGCCTGTGAAGCAGCTCTGAAAGCATGATTGATGAGCCCCAGCCAGCTTCTTGCAGCGGTGCTGCTCTGGGCTCCACTCAAGCCCCGTCCTGCCACACACTAGGGCAGCTCTCCCACCCCAGCTCCTGGGCTCCGGCAGCCCTGCCTTGGCTAACCCCCTGTAACTGCATCGAGGGCTTTCCCTGCTCCTCCAGCCAGTGGTCCCTGCCTGCCTGCCCCGGAGCTTCAGCGCTGCGCCTCACTGGGGCAACCCTGACCATCCCAGCATCTTCCTGTGTTCCCATCCCAAGCTCCATCCCACCGCAGCTCCATCTCCAGTGTGTGCTGGGGACAGGACAGCAGTCCCCAGGGAGGGGACAGCTGACAGGCAGCATGGCCCCTGCAGTTCTCAGGGAGATAAAACAGCAGGAAGCCCCAGCCCCAACCAGCCTGTGACCTTGCCAAGCTCCTGGAGATGGAGACAGGGCTGGTCCCCCCTCTTCAATGAGCAACAGGAATGGTGCAAGGGGTCGATCTGTGCAGGTGGCAGAGGAACAAGCCACTGATTTATTGCCCAGGAGGAACACGGGTGGGGATGGGAGTGGGGTGGGGGACAGAGGATAAATCAGGCATTCAATGAATGGACCCATTCTGCCTCTCACTCGAGTCCCCAGGCACCCCGTGTCAGGGGTTTCCCCATTGCGAGGGTGGCCACGGCTGTGCAGGGACAGACAAATGTGTCTCCCAGCCCCACACTCTCAGCTCTGCCCACAGGCTGTGCTGAACATGGCATGCACCATGCCACAATCCTATTTTTCCTGTTCAAAATGACACCCCATGTCCTTCCTGCATCAGCTGCAGGGAATGACCCAATGGCTGCACCGTGGTCAGCGGCTTTTCCCAGCCACGGGTTCTCCACCCACAGCCCAGACCCCTGAGGGGCACCCCAAGAGCTCACCGACACCAGCCCCCGGATGGTGAAGTGCAGGTTCTTCAGCTTGTCAATCACGGCCTCCCCGAGCAGTGGTGAGAAGGTGGGGGAGCAGCTCCACTCCACTGAAAGAAGAGACCCCAATGTGCCCTGTGGCCCTGGAGCAGGGACAGGCTACCAGGGCTGGCTGCAGCATGTTGGGGCCAGCAGATGCAGAGGGACCACGGGTAGCACCACAGCTGGAAGGAGCTGAGCAAAGGCAGGGGAGAGGGGGAACTGCAACAGTGGGGATGGCACAGGGAACTGCAGCCCTCCTTATCAAACTGCGTCAGGCAGGGCCAGCACCTGCAAGCGATGAGTCAGGAGATGGGGATGGAGGAAATCCTCCCAGAAGCCAAAAGTATTTGGTTTAAGTGGGTGAGGGGCACAGGAACAGCAGGATGGGAAAGCCCTGCAGTGGTCAGAAGGCTGGGGTCAAACAAGCCGCACTCTGAGTTCTGCCATGATGTGGTCCAGCTTGGAGCGTTTGAGTGTCAGCTGGGTGGTATCACGGTGTGCAGCCCTGGCTCCCCCACACTCGAGCACAAAGGCAGCTTGATGGGGCTCGGCAGCCCTGCTCATGCCCCTGGCACGCTGGTGGGCTATGTGTGGGCTGAGCAGCCCAGCACAGCCCCTCCAGCACACCCAAAGTGTTTGCCATGGCCGCATGTCCCCCAAACCGGTGGGGGGACCCCAGTCCTTACCTTTGTACTTGGTGACGACAGCTGAGTTGACACTCAGGGGCTCCCAGAAGGTCACCTGCACTGAGGAGCTGCTGGCCACGGAGAGGTGGACATTGGTGGGGGCGTCTGGCACTCCTGGGGACAGAGAGCGCAGGGACCACTACAGCGAGGACGGTCACTCTGAACCCCTCGGTGTCCCTCCTGAGCCTCCCCCTGCACCCAGGCACACATTCCTGGAGTGCTCACTCTCCATGCACCCATACAGGGAGCCCTGGTTACAGGGTGTGGGGATCCTCTGGCAGGTGCTGGTGCAGCCCTGTGCCTGGACTACACACAGCCCTGCTCCTTCCCCCAGCACAGGGGCTGCCCCCCAGGCCCCCCAAGCCCTCCTGCAGGCACTCACGGGCATGCTCAAACCCTGCCTTCATGCGCTTGTAAAGCCGGTATCGCCACTCCCAAGCCTTGAGCTGCTTCTCCTTCTCAGAGCAGTCGGCGTTGGGCGCTTCGTTCACCACCTGTGCTGTCAGCTCGTTGACGCGCTGCTCTGCTTCCCGCACCAGTGTGGAGAGGTGCAGCGAGCGGCTCTCCAGGCTTACAACTGTGGGTTGGGTGGGCATGGCCGTGGATCCCAGGAAGGGAGCCAGGAGGAGTGAAGAAAAAGTGGTTAGGACAAGCCCCGGCTCTGTGGCACCGAGTCCCTACTCCAGGGCCCCATCCCCTCCTCTGTGTCCTGCTCCGGCGCTCCACTCGAGTGCATGGCTCCACTCAAGCCCCTGCTACAGCCTGCACCAGTTTACCAGAGCCCAGTGACTGCCTCCCCACCCAGACCCCACTGCCTGGGGTGTCCCGCTCCACCAGACTGGTGATGGGCATGGCATGGCTCCCCCACACCAACTCACAGTGCGGGCTCTCCTTTGCTCCTGCCTGCAGCAGGGCCCTGGCGATGGGCGTGTTGTTGGTCATGATGGCGATGTCCAGGGGCAGCAGCCCCTCACTGTTGGGGGTGTTGAGGTCCAGTTCCTCGGGGCTGTATTGCTTCAGCAGCTCCTGGACCCTGTCTAGGTCCTGCAGCTCCACAGCCTCAAAGAGGGCAGCATTGCTCTGGAACTGGACAGAGGGAGAAATGCAGGTTGCATGTGACCTCTTCCACTCCACCCAACACCCCAGCCCTTCACCAGCACCCGACAAACCCAAACAGGGTGGGGTGCCCTGGTGCCAGGGGATTAGGAGCATTGTCCCTTTGCAACACAGCCAGATGATGCTGAGCAACACTCGGACCAGCTCCAGGTGAACCTGCTGCGGGGCAGCTTCACAACACACTCTTGGGCTTCCACTCAGGTGTCAGCATCACCCACACACCGACCCTCCATCCCTGTCTTCCCAGCCATGGCAGTGCTGGATGGAGCCAGTGGGCACTGACCAGGTAGGACTTGCGGAGCTTCTCCTTCTCGCCCCGTCCTGCCAGGCTGCCCTCGTCGAAGGATGTGTAGTTGACACGAAATTTCCCCGACAGGTTTCGGTAGAGCCTCTTGGCTGCATTTGGTGAGGAAGGGCCCGGCGGCTTCCTGGCCTGTGCCAGCTGCAAGTCCCGCATCTGCTGTGTCATTTTAGGGGAGGATGACCTGGGAAAGAGCAAGGTGTGGGAAAATGAGGCATGGAGGATGTGACAGAAAAGCAGAGGCTTATCTGCAGCATCAGGACTGAGGCACAACCCAGTAGATGCCAGGGGAGCACTGATGTTAGAGGCTGCAAGGCAGATACCAGTGCCAGCAATGCCCTCACCCATCTGTTATCAGCTGAGGCCAGTCCATTCCTCCTTCCAGGGCTGGCCCTGCTGGGTCGCCAGGGGCTCCTACAAACCCTGCAGGTGAGACATTTCCTTCCAGACACAAGGGTCAGTCTGGTGCCACACTGCCCTTAAGCCTGGATGCCCCAAGTAACCTCAGGCTCAATTGCTCAGCTCTGCAACTGGTCCCCATCCATTATACCAGGGAAGCCTCTCCTTACTCCCAGTTGCCACCATCTGACTCCTACAGAAATGGGCTGCCCCATCCAGGGCTGCCCAGATCTCCTTGGCAGTGGGGGCCACAGGGATGGACAGCCCCCCAGCCCCGAGCTGGGTGAGTGCTGCCCACCATGAAGTTGGCTTGGGATGACCTCGTGCACCCTCTCCACATCCATCCTTCCAGCAGGAACCTGTCTCCTGCACTTATCACTGTTCACAGCCCTCTGAGAACTTAACTCCAGCAAAAGGCACCCTCTGAAAGCAAAGTGAGAGCAGGCAATGGACAAAAGGCTACTTCTACGGACAATGCCAGGCTCTGATGGGGATCACTGACCCCCAATCTCCTGCTCACCAGTAGACCCAGGCTCCATAGCTGCTCCTCACCTTCTCCATCCACATTGATTAACCCACAAAATCTTCTCTACTCTGATTTTGATTTATACTTTAAATAACCATAATAAATATGTACAAGTCACTATGAAACTGATATTTTGTCTTGGATTCACAGAGGGGGAGCTGCCCCTCTCCCTGCAGCTGTGACCCTCATGTCCCACCTAAGACTTCATCCCCACAGGGCAAAGTCCCCGGTTTCAGCGCAAGCGTGGCCTTGCTGCTGCATGGGCTTTTGCCCATGAGTCATCCCTTAAAGCACTGAGGGTTTTCACTGGCGTCAAACATCTGATCCCCTCCTTGCCGTAGCCCATGGCACAGTTCCCAGACAGGAGCAACAGGTCTAAAGAGCATTTAGCGCAGCTATGCTTAACACAGTTTCTCTCAGTTTTGACCTCATACCCCTGTGTATAAGGTCAGATATTTAGGGGTAAAGCCTTCTCCATATCATTTTATTGGTTAAATATCAAGCAAGGGGTAAGCTTGATAAAAAGCATGACAGTTGTCTAGAAGGTCATGCCAAAATCTACTGCGAGGCTGTGCCTGGGTTGATGATGTTTATAAAGCCATCATCAGGAGGCAGGATATTAATAACAACCTTGCTATGTGCTCTTCATCGTCCTGATTTCAGATTAGGTGCAGTGGGCTGCAGAAGGCCTTTAATGATTTTACCTTTTATTACTGTGATATTTAAAAGCAGAAAATAATGGGGAGGTTGGCTCCTGCCAATAACTCATCTCACTGGCTTCAGCCTACAGATTTAGAGGTCTCGAGCGTGGCCCAAGCTGCAGTGTCAAGTTTCTGCCCTGGATTTCTCCAGGGATGGGTGTTATCTGAACATTGGGCTTTATGGACTGGACAGACAGTGAACAGCAGCCACGTGAGCTTCAGGTGCTGAGACACTCCTAGGCAACCTTGTGGAGGTTGGTGAGATCTGTGCAGCTGGGTCCTGCTGGTTCTGGTGGGGAGGAGGGAGAGCAGGTCTCCACCAGGAGAGCATCACCATGCGGGAAGAGACCTGCTCAACACAGGGCTCACCGGGACCTACCCAGCTCTGGACACAGAGTCCTCAGCTTACAGCTGTGGCAGCCCAAGCACACTGTGTTTCATCATGGACACGGAGCAACTCCTGGCACAGCCACTACGGAAGGCTTCTGATGCCAAGGGCTCCACACACAGCACATACAAGCCTCTACAGATGGCAAGTACAAGATCCCAGATATCAAAGGAGCAGAAAAGCATCACACAGCTCTGCTGTCACTGGTGGACAGAAATTAAGAGAGAAAAGCCATCCATGCCTGTGCAGGCAGGGCACTCTGGCAACCAGGAAGGCAGGTCCTGACCCACAGACCAAGCCCGAGAAGCAAAGTGCTATACCACATACTTAGGAAAGAGAAATAACCAACTTAAGAGACTCTCCAGCAAAACCTTGCCCTTTCTCTTTTAAGACCTCTCTGCTGCTCCAGTCCTCCTCTCTTCACCTCCAGCTGCTGCCCAGAGGTGAAGATGGCTCCTCTAGCAGGCTTGTCAGCGAGATGCCTAATTGTACTGTGGTTCCCCTTCAACCAAGGAGGCAGCAAAGCTCTCCCACATCAAGAAGGGAAGGAAGACCCCAGAAGTACCTCTCTGGAAGCTGGAGTAGATCCTGTTGTAAGAGATCCCTGCTCCATCCATGCCTGCAGAATCAAGGTTTTAAAAAGGAGTGGTGCTTTGGAGCAAAAGCACGTTTTCTGCCAATCAAAATAGATGGCAAATGACCCAGTACAGGCAGACTGCACAATTTGGAGGAAGTTCTCTCAGAGATGGTAGAACCAGAGACGACACAAAGAAATTTCTCCCTATTTTCCCTCACCTGATTTGCTTTTAATGAGAAGAGATGGAAATTATTCAGAGCTCAGGAGTGAGTGAACATCTATCTATATTAAACCGGGTGCCCCAAAGATAAAAGAGTTTCCTGCCCTGTGGTTATGAGTCATCTGGACTCAGTGAAATAGTCTTGATTTATCTAGAGCTAAACTTTGCAGTGGAGCAACTGATAGCTGAAAACAACACCCACGGATGTCATGCCCTCAAGGTATGACCAGCCAACACCATCTCTTCCTGACTGTAAAGCCCCGTCCTGCAGGGAGGAGGTCCCATCTCCTCTGCCTTTATGACTTCAATGCATCCGAACTAGATTTATCTCAACCACAATCAGTTTTTGTTGCTACCTACCTACTGCAAACACCACAGCAGGGTATGGGTACTTGGCTTGCCCTAGCAGTTCAGTTTTTTGGCCGTGTGATGTGTTTGTGACCATCAGGGAGGTGGAGTGGACATCAGTGTCATAAATCCACATACCAGCAAACTCCATCACTCTCTCCATGGAAAGGCTGAGGTTCTGCGAAAGGATGCATTAGGGCTGGCCAGACTCATCTCATGAAACCAATGTAATCAGGATTTTTTTTTTTTTTTTATTTTTTTTTTTAAGCACATGAGGGTGGATGTGCATAAGACAACTTCATTTTATCCTTCCTTCTACAATGAACATGAGAAAATCCATTGGGTAAGTTTATAACATTGTGGTTTCTGCATATTCTAGGTTTTAATGTTTCCAACACTGCACATCTTGGCCTAGTAAACAGTGTTAATAATTATTGTAATTATATGATTTTAAGTGCGTTTTGTTTAAGGGCGTAGCCTCTCTGAGCCTCCAGCAGAGAACCAGTCCATGTCAGAAAGGGCTGCTCCCTCCCGCTGGCGGAGCCCAGACCCCGGGCTGGCTGGAAGGAGCCTTGCCCACCCCGAGCCCAGCAGGACCATTCCCCAGGCACCCACAGGGATGGCACCACCAGACATGCAAACCCCAGGGTAACTTCATCCTCCCTGCCGCCATGCACTTCCGTCTCAGGGTCAGAGGCTGGAGGTACGTGGCCAAGCAGGCAATGACCATCCTGCCCAGAGCCCACCTGACACGGCTGTTGGGGACCACAGTGGCCATTCCATGCCACCTCCCACCAGTGGAAGCCTGGGCTGTGACAAGGCTCATGTGCAAGCAATGCTGTCACTGGTGGCAATGACCTTCCAGCCAAAAACCAAGGCTGCCTGGTCCCTGCCACCCCCCATGCCAGCCGTGAAAGTATTAGCTCAGGGGTGCTGCCCGTGCTGGCGGCAAGAGGGCAGACACCAGGCACAGCGGCAGACATGAGCTCAGTGCCTCGCTCCTGTCCTCGGGGTTGGTGTGGGTGGTTGTCACTTCAGGAATCTGATCCTCACCGTCTGCAGCCTCATGGTGCAGAGAGGGAAGGCACGGGGCTCTGTGCACGAGAAAAAATGAACCCAAAGGATGGAGAATAAAAGGTGTCAGTGCTTTGAAAGGTCGAGGCTTGGGGTGGGGAGAAGGACTGGGTCCTTGCAAAGCTCGCTGTAGCCTGATGGTGCTGTGGATGTCAGTGGTATGTTAGCACAAGCTGCTAAGGATGCTTTCCTGAACTGTGATCCAATTCAGTCCATAGTGATATCCAAAAAATGAACAGGCGAGGGACAGGAAAAGCCTAAAAAACTGTTATCAGGGAGAGCCAACCCAACCCAGCCATCGTCACGCCAAACTGGGAGCTTGCATTAAGAGATCAGCTGGCAAGATCAACATACAGGCTGTTTCCAAAGAAATCTGAGCGTGAGGGGTCTTCTCATTTGAGTACACTTGGCCATGCTCACCCTTGGCACGTGCAGGAAATCCCACACTATAGCTACAAACACTCAGGCACTGAATACTCTACAGCAGAGTCCACTCGAGCTCCTAAAACGCAAAGGAGTTCCTCTCGGCTCATGGGGACATGAACCAGAAGTGCAGTGTCCAGTATGAAGAGGAGCTGCTCCTGCACTCACATTTTCCATTCTTTCTGCCTGAGTATAAGCAATTTTTCAGGACTGGGGAAATCAAGGCTGGATCCAAAATGGAGCACAAGTAGGGGAGCCTTTCCAAAAGAGTGGGATTTCATAACCCACCAAAAGGCACACTCAAAGCTAAGACAAAATGCCATGATTAGTATCCCTGCAAAGCAGCAGGACTTATGGGAGCAGCCTGCATACCAGTTACCCACCCCGAGGTGTATGGACCTCAAAGGTATTTAAATACTGTGTGGCGACCTGGCCATGCAAAGATGGAGCTCAACACTTGGGCTCTGCAGAAACATCTGCGTGCCTGGAAAATGCACTTGCTTAGTGAAACCTGGGTCCAGGGAAAGG